CCTAGGGGAAGGAGGAGGGTGTGCATGTCTCCTACCAGTGCACCCCAGTCTCAACCCCAGGGGAAGGGAGGGCCACGCATGCCTCCTGCCAGCGCTTCCCAGAACTGTCCAAGGTGTCAGGAGCTGTAGCTTCCTGCCGGGGCTCTTGCTGCCCCCCTGTGGCCATTCCACAATATAACTCCCTCCTACAAGACCCCTCCCTTATTTGTTGAGAAACAATCTCATTCTGGGCACATCCCATTGTCCTGGCACAACCCAACCCTGACCTTGTTTTAAGTTAGGAGAAGAGGAAGCGGCATCCCAAATTTGGTCGTTCTAGCTCTTCTCGTTTAGGAGTTGTTGAACAAACAGACAGAGGCACATTTCTAAAACAGATCGATAGATGACTATATCAACGCCTTAATTAGTTTTTGGAAAGCACCTTGCGGGCAGGCGGACAGACTGTCAGCGGATGTCAATTAGCACAGTAAGGGGGCTACAGCCATTTTATACCACGTGAGGGTTGGTTCTGAAAAACTCTCCGTGTTTGCAGAGAACCAAATTCCTCTCTCCGTTCTGAGCATGGCCATTCCGGAGAAGCCAATGGGATTGCAGAGGAGAACCTGGCTCCACGTTCAGGAGTGTTCTCCATCGCCCACCTGTCTGCAGTTATTTCCCCAGTTGGAGACGGATCGTTGAGCAACAGGGGCCTGCGGTCTGTGCAGGCCATGTTATCACCTGGGGTCATGCTTAGTCAGATGTCCCGCAAGCACATGGAACCCATGTCACATAGCCCCATGTAGCACTCTCCTTCCTCATTGTTCTCCCGGTCGGGTTTCATCCTCTCCCGGTCTTAGTTCATCACTAGATCCACTTCACCGGCCTGAATTTACTCCCCTGCCGGTGCCTGCTCCGCCGTCACCTCCTGGGAACACCTGTGTTAAGGAGAGGTGCTTTGAAAAGGGGGGTGCTGCAGCCATGTAGGAGGAGGAAGCTGGTCTGGTACAGGCTCTGCAGGGGTGTGAAGAAGTTGGTTGAGATGCTCCACACTGGGTGGATGCCACTTTAGCAGTCCAAAGACGAGCCCCCCCCCACCCTGCGCCAGGGAATAACTCATGTGCCCGGTTCCCCCCTCTAGGTCCCGCAGCGTGGTCCAGATCAATGCCAGCATTCGATTCGAGCCCTCCAAAATCAACATCTTCAACAAGGACTGCAAGCGCAACGGGAAGGACGCCGCCGTTCGGGTTTCCCCGGCCCGCGCTGGTGAGCGCTCTGCCAAGCCGCTCCTGTCTACTAGCCGGAGCAGAGACAGAGACAAAAAGGAGCTGAGAGCCTGTTCTAGGGGGAGGAGAGCATTAAACCCATGTGCTTGGTCTCATCGGACATACCCATTCTCCACCCCGCCCGGCTCCTTTTCAACCAGCACTCTTACTCCCGGATGGGCCAGGCCTTTTGATCAGCCATGGGCAGTGGGTGAAGGTAGGCCTGAGGGAGGCAAGCCTCCACCCTAGCCCCGCCCCTTCTTCTGAGGCCCCGCCTCCCACGGGACCCAAGCTTCCTCCCCGCCCCCTCAGCACAGGGAGCGGGGAAGGCGCATGGCTCCAACCTCCCTGGCCCCGGTGCTCAGGAGCAGCAACACTCCCCCTCCAATACGCCTACAGCAGGCATTCTGGGGGCGGAGTCTGGGCGGGGCCAGGCTGGCAGTTTGGGAAGACAACGCCTCCCCCTGCCTCGCACACCTGCCACCCATGACCACTGCCCCATGCAGGGGGTTGCGGCTAGCACACAACCCAGTTAGCCTCTGTGTGACCCCTGCTCCCCCAGTCTGCGTTCATAAAAACGAGTCGAAAGTCCTCGGGGAGATGAGCTCAGGCAGCTCTCGCTGTCAGGCAGAAAAGATGGAGCAACAATTAATCGCTAGGCAAGTTTTATTAAAGAAAATCACCCTAGATTGGAACATGCACTGAGGTCCTAGGCTGGATCGGGAGCGGTGAGATCTCCGACTCCCGGAAAGGAGATTTTCCAGCCAATCCGCTTCCAGCGCTGCCTACCCAGCATTTGCTCTGAGCGCCGATGAATTCTGCTGCTCCGAGCTCTTTGCAAAGATCCAGGAAACAAGGCCAAATAGGTGGCAGTGATAAGTCTCTCACCCTGGCTCCCGCTCAGTTCGGGGCCCCCCTGGCTTACAAAGGGAGCCCTCCCGAACCTGTGCTGTGGGGGCTGACGCCGCGCTCTGTGTGGGAGTCGGCAGCGTTGGGTCTTGCATCTGCAGGCTGCATCTGGGGGCCAGCTGCCCCGGGACTTGGCTCATCTCACAAAGAGCCTCTGTGAGCCGAGCAGCGGGGGTAGGCTTTCAAACCCCGTGCGTCGCTATGCCCGGGATGGCAGTGATTCAGCACGATCCAGCAGGAAACAAAAGTGGCGTGGC